ATGGATGTGTGTGGGGTGATGGAAAACACCACCGGCCCCGGTGCCACAGGTCCCCAAAGCTGCATCCCCAAAAGCTGCATCCCCAAAAGCTGCATCCCCAAAAGCTGCCTCCCTCCAGTCCTCACTGCAGCCCCATTTGCAGAGGCCCCAAAATTCCAAATAATGCCCCATTTTTAGTGGTGAGCACGAAGGGCAGAAGCCAGCCCTGTGTGTCTCCTACAGTTTTTCTCTCCCAGAACCCCCCCACCCCACGATTCCCGGCCCTATCGCTGGGCCGTGTCCCCGTGCACGGTGCCACGAGGTCCCCTATGGCTGCGAGTGGTACAGGGACGTGACCACCACCCCCCCCCTCGGCCCCCACCCGTTATGGGGCAGGGCTGGAAGTGCCGGCAGTGCCCCCGGAGCCGCCGCAGGAAACGGCTCATTGTTAACAACGCCGAAAGAGAAAAGAAAAAAAAAAAAAAAACAAAAAAAAAACAAAGAGAGACCCGAAAAAATCGCAGCCGTGAGGCCAGCTTCTATTTGAGGGTTTCCACGGGAAAAACAGGAAGCAGAATCGTGTTACTTTTCTAGGGCTTGCTGCAGATAACGCCGTTAGGATGTGGGGCAGAGAATGAGGAGGAGGAGGAGCAGGGGATGAAGGCTCTGGGGTCCTCGCATGGATTTAAGTGCCCAGCTTTAATGGGTGGGGGATAAGGTGGGGATGGGGGGTTTGGGAGGTGGGAAGTGGGCCTTGCTGTGCCCCTCCTGGGCTTCTCATGGGTTAAGCTGGACTTGATGTGACCGCAGTGTAGGGCAGAGTCGGCAGCGTGGGGCTGTGAAGGCAATGCTGCTGTGATGGAAGTTGGTGCTGGGAAGGAACTGCAGGGTTTCCTTCCCTGTGTTCACACCCAGAGCACAGCAGGAGGGGCAGTGGAGGTCCCAGGACTGCCCTGCTGGGCTGGGAGCTGCAGGGGGGGGGGTTCTGGTTGTTGGTGTTTGGGTACCGGTGTGAAAAAGAGCAGCTTTGGGGATGTAGGGATAAAGCCACACAACAACCTGCCCAGTGCAGAGCTGTCCGTGGGGTCCTGTGCTTAACAGGGGTTGGTGGCTCTGTGGGGAAGGGGCGTCCTGGGGCTCCCAAACCCCCACTGAGCCGTCAGCCCCAGGTTGGGTTAAACAGAAAACTTTCTCCTGTAGGTGTTAATCTGGATGCAGTGATCACTCTCTGCCACTGCCACCCATCCTGGTCCCTCTGTCCACATCCCCCCCCCTCTCCCCACCCCATGGAACATCCCTGTCATCCCCTGGCTGCATCAGCTGCGCCATGGGGTGACACGGTGGGACCCATATCCCCCCATCCCCATGGCCCCAGCACAGGTGGGAGCCGTGAGACACTGCCATATAAGGGCTGAAAATCAGCTGTTGCCTCGACGCAGCTTTCTCTTCCCTGAAAATCCTATTAGAACCTCATTTTTCTGACCCTAATCTCGGCTCAAGGGAGATTCCTCCTTCAGGAGGGATTTGTGTTTGCCCTCTCCCCCCCAGCCCTGCATGCTCAGTGCAGGGGGACGCAGCACATGGTGCTGGTGGCAGCTGGCTGTCCCTCTATCCCTCTGTGCCCTGTTGGTGTGACGTTATCCTTTTCTCTGTGCCAAGGGTTCACGTATTCCCACAGCTGGGATGTGGGGAGGCTTGGGGGGGGGGGGTCACCCACTGGGTGCTGTGCTCCCTGTGCCTCAGTTTCCCCGCAGCTCCATTCCCCACTGCTCTGAGGCTGTGGGTTCTTGGTGGGTGTGCTGGTGCATGGCAGCAATGCATGCTGCAGATGTGCATGGTGCAAAGAGATGCATGGCAGCAGTGTGTGGTGCCAGAGGTGCACGGTGCAAAGGAATACATGGCAGCAATGCATGGTGCCAGAGGTGCATGGTGCAGGTGATGCATGGCAGCAATGCATGCTGACAGAGGCGCACGGTGCAGGTGATCCATAGCAGCAGTGCATGGTGCGAGGCGATGCTGCACGGTGCACAGTGCCGGTGGTGCATGGAAGCAATGCATGGCGGTGGTGCATGGAAGCAATGCATGGTGCAGCAGTGCATGATGCTGGCAGTGCATGCCGGGAGCACGCTGCATTCCCCCCTGCTCCCGCTTGGCTGTATATTTAGGACACTCCTGTGCAAAACACCAAGTATGTTGGAAGGCGTCCAGGCGCGCTCGCATTCCTCGGGGTGGAATCTGCCCCCGCGAACGCCGCCTGACCTTTCCCAGTTTGGGCTGCAGGAACAATACTGGGGCCCATCCTGTGCTCAGCCTGGGGCAAGCAGACCCCCCCCTACCCCCCCGCCCCCCCCCAGTCCCTTCCCACGCGCTCAGCACTACCGGTCAAGGCGTGCATGGAGTTGATGGGGTCAGACCTGGATCCGAGCTGTCCCCCGACCACGGTGTTGCTCTGGTGGGGGCAGACCCCCCCATGGGGAGCACAGCCCTAAATGGGGCCGTGCATGAGTGCTGGGGGCCCTCACGGTGCTCCCCATCGAATGCCCCGGTGTGTTGGACTCCGGTTGCCCGGTGGGGGGGGGGGTGCAGTGTGTGTGGGCAGCCCCCAGCCTCATTTCACCTGGTTCCAGCGGGTGGTTGGATAGCAAAGCCCCCCCATCCCCCTCCCCCGGCTGCTGGCACCGACAGCTGGAGCCCGGCTCTGCCTGTTGGGACACGCTGAGCTGTCTCGGGGGGTGGGGGGGGGAAGGGGGTGGGAACCACGGGAGACCCCTGGCACAGCACCGACAGCCCTGGGAATGGCCCGGGGGGAAGAAGGGATAGGGATGCGTGTCCCACATCTCCGTGCCCCAATTTCACCCGGGGATGTTGGCACAGACACTCCGGGATGCCGCTGGGGGGGAGGAGCAGACAGGACCTGGGGGCACAGCTGCCACCCGGCCCGCTCAACCTGCCCCCCCCGGGGGGCTGTCTGGGATGGGGACGTGGCACATCGGCCCTGCGGGGTGCGAGGAGGGGGGGGGGACGTGCGGGGCAACAGAGAGCTGATGGTGCACGGAGGACCGCGGTGCTGTGCGGTGGGGACGGTCCCGCAGTCGGTGCCCGCGGGTGGTGGCGGAGGGGGGGGGGCTGGATGGGGAAGGGGAGGGGGCCGCGGCCGGGGCTGCAATCCCAGCAATGCCCGGTATTTCCCCGGCGCGGCCGCACGTGCCTCCCCCCGGCTGCAGCGCGGCTGGAATGCGATGTCGGAGCCCCGACATGGGGACATGGGGGGCTGCAAACCCCACCCCCCCTCCCCGGGATGTGTCCGAAGCCCTGGGGGCTCCCGCTTTTTCCTCCTCTCCTTCCTCGCTTCTCTGCCGGGCCCTTGTCTTTGTCCTTTCCATATCTTTGATGCCATATGGGGGACGAGAAGGGCAATTCGTTCGCCCAGCGCAGTGAGACCCCTCCCACTCCCCCCATCCCCAGGTCCAGGGGAGGGGGACGCTGCCCGGAGCATCCCCCTCCCTAACAGAGGTGGCACCGCTGTGTTTTTGGAGGGATGTCTTAATTCCTATCCAGGATCCCCCCCCCGCTGGGGGCACAGAGGGGTTGGTGGGGGCACCTCGCGTTGTCACATCATCCCCAGCACCGCCCGGAGCGCTGCGGTGCGAGGAGGAAGGAAGGAAGAGGCTGGGATGAGGGAGAGGAGGAAGCGGGGGTTGGGATG